GGCTTATAAAATTTTGGAGTTGCAACGTGTTGCAACAGGTGACAAATAAGCGTCACATACTTGCTGCGCCATCTCTAACATGAACCTTTCTTTCTGACATATAGAAGAGAAGCATGACTACCAATAGAATTAAAATTTGAAACAACACTCAAAAAAGAAGTTGAAATAGAAGAACATTTTTAAATAGAATATTTACTTTAATTAATTATTTATCTAAATGAGTTATTGACAGCAAGAAGAATATCAATCTTTCACAAGAAAAATCAAAAGAACGACATGATAGAAAACTGAAAAAAGTACAACAATTTGAAATTGGAAACAAAGTTCTAGTTTATAATATGAAGAGATATGTTGAACATGAAAATAAGTTTAAATCTCAATAGAAAGAAGAATGGTACTATATACATGAAACCTATCAAAATAGAGCATATAGATTGTGAAATCAACAAGAACAGTTATTCAAAAATTAATGGTGCACAATTAAAAACATTCCATGAACAATCAACTTTATTTGAACCAAAAGTAATAATAAAATATATAAATTTCTTATTATTACTCTTATTAATATCATAATAATATCTCCCCTTTGAAATATTATAAATAAAACACCTTTTTCTGAACTTTTCTTTTAAATTTCCACTTTCAAAATTATTTTTTTTTTAAATTCCTCTTCTTAATTCCTTTTATTTTCACAATGTCTTTATCTAGATGAATCTCACCATGCATGAAAGAATGTTTTACCAAAATGTTAGAAGATTTATTCTTATATCAGCCGAATGGAGTAATCTATTTCTCAACCCATGAAGTTATAATCAAAAATAATAATGGACAACAACATTATACAACAACTCAAGAACTCAATCAATATTTAGAATTTCTCAACAATTTCCTCTCTGACGATATTATTACCTTTGAATCACAACTCTCTATACCTTCCTCTAAAGTATTTGACTGTTCAGAATTTTTTAAAGACTTTGATAAATCAACTCTCTATGAAGAAATCATAATTCCTTCTGAATCAATTATTGGAATAACAGAGATAATAAAACTAGTTAAATTCATAAATTTAATACCAACAACACAAATCATCGAAGAACAATAACTCAAAGAATATCAATCTGAATCAATTGATGAAATTTGGAAGGCAAAACTAGAAAAAGCTCTAAGAAAAATATACCATCAAAGAAAAGATGAGAAACAAAAATTAGAATACTATTTCAAAATTGGAGAAATGCTTCATAATCAATCACCAAAATATCAAAAACATTTATAATAATTAAAGAGATTTATTCATCAAAAGATTGAAAAATATAAATTTTGCAAATAATCATTTTATATTACAAAGAAAACCTTCAAATATTTGGAACTAAAGAACTTCTATCACAAATTACCTTGAAATTGACATCTTCTCAGATACATCAATTAAGTTAACGAATATAAAAATCAAGTTTAAAATTGATTTTGCGAAGCAAAATTTTCAAAGGAGGAACAAATATTACAATAATAACATAAAAATCACAAATTCAAAAATAATCGAAAAATATGAAAATTTCAAAAATATTCATATAATAATAAAATTTTCTAATATTATTTCACTTTTTATTATTTCACTTTTTCAATTTTTTACTTTTATTTTTCACTTTTATATATATTTTTTTACTTTTATTATTTCACTTTTAATTTTTCACTTTTTATTTTTTACTTTTTTGAAATTTCACTTTTCACTTTTCACTTTTATAATTAGTTATTTCACTTTTATATATTTTTATACTTATTATTTCACTTTTTGTAATTTTGAAAAATGTATAAATAGAGGTGCTGTCTGAGTCTTAACTCAACATGTTATAATTAAAAATAAAAATCTCTCTTAACAAAAATCTTCCTTCAAATACTTTTTGCCTCTCATATTTTCTTTATATACTTCAAATCTTGTATATAAGTGATCTTATATTATATTAAACCTATCAAATTGCTGATAATTTTATATTGTATTGCACCAAGCAAATCACTGTTATTGACTTTGGACTTTATATTATATTGTGCTGAACAAATTGTTATTAAGCTTTATATCGTATTGTGCTGAACAAATCATTGTATTGGAATTATTAAAATTGGATTTATAAGTATTTTTACTTTTTTTATTTTGAATTTTTAATTATTAACAAATATTTCTCACTCATGAGAAGAACAAAATGTAAGAATCTTTGTTATTGTTATTACTAATCATATTATCTTAGTTCTAAAAAGCTTTACGTGAGTATAAAATTACCCTTTGAATCTCCTTTATTATTTTTTTATTCTCTCTTCTCTTTGATCTTTACTCTCCCACAACTCTCCCATATTATTATTTCTTTTCAAGTAAACACAATTTCTGTAGAAATTGGTATAGACCTTAGATACTCCTCTTCTCTCTTAATATTTTCTTTATCAGTTTATATCCTTTTCCAATCCAGGTTCTTGTTTGTAAGCTAATTTAATGATTAGTGAACAAACTTGTAACATTATCATAATCTTTCTAATCTTTTGATTTAATTGTTAAATTTGGTTTTTATTTTTTGGTGTTAATCTGAAACTTTTTTTTGCTTGCACTTTCACTCAGAATTACACTTTAGTTCGAACAGTAAGTGAATTTTTTATTTTATTTGGATATTTATAATCACAAAGTTAATTTGAAGCTTTTTATGTGATAAAGACCAATGGACTTGATACATGAAATCATTCTTGAACTTTCACTTGGGATCGCACTTTCATTCAAACTTAAATAAAGGTAAATGAATTTTTTATTTTATTTGAATTTTTACAATAGTGATGTTAACTTGAAGCTTTTTTTTCGATAAAGACCAATAGACTTGGTACATAAAATCATTCTTGAACTTTTATTCAGAATCATGCTTTCATTCAAACTTAAATAAAGGTAAATGAATTTTTTATTTTATTTGAATTTTTTTATTTTATTTGAATTTTTACAATAGTAATATTAACTTGAAGTTTTTTTTGTGATAAAGACCAATGAACTTAATACATGAAATTATTCTTGAACTTTCATTCAGGATCATGCTTTAGTTCAAACTTAAATAAAGGTAAATGAATTTTTTATTTTGTTATTTTATTTGAATTTTTACAATAGTGATGTTAACTTGAAGCTTTTTTTTGTGATAAAGATCAATGGACTTGGTACATGAAATCATTCTTGAACTTTCATTCGAGATCATGCTTTAGTTCAAACTTAAATAAAGGTAAATGGATTTTTTATTTTATTTAAATTTTTTTATTTTATTTGAATTTTTACAATAATGATGTTAACTTGAAGCTTTTTTTTGTGATAAAGACCAATAGACTTGATACATGAAATCATTCTTGAACTTTCACTTAGGATCGTGCTTTAGTTCAAAGTTAAATAGCGATAAGTGGATTTTTTTATTTTATTTGAATTTTTACAAACACGATGTTAACTTGAAGCTTTTTTCGATAAAGATCAATGAACAGCTTATTCTATAGAATTATTTGTGCACTTTCACTTGAGATCACGTATATGTAGATAAAAATAATTGCAAAAATGGGCAAAAACTAAATATAATAAAATATATTGTCATAATTAATCATATAATATTTATTGTTATAGTATTTAATATAAACTGGGATCATATGATTAGAAAGCCGGATATCTGGTCGGTGCTGGATATTGGTCGGAAAATCACGTGACTGACACTTTTTTTTGCCGTGGCTAGGATACTATATACTAAAGATAGCGCAGCAAGTATGTGATGCTTATTTGTCATCTGTTGCAACACGTTGCAACTCCAAAATTTTATAAGCTGCAACTAGTTGCAACTAGGTGATGCTTTATTTGTCACCACGTTGCAACAGTTGCCACGCCATCTTTACTATATATGAACTTCTTTGTCCGCAATCGTAACGAGACGCAGGGTAAATTGTATTTTAAGGTGTGACTTCCACAAGTGTATTTTCCAACTGTGTAATTGTTAAGGAGAAGTGTCCTCGAGACAGCTGTAAAGCAGTACAATGATGAGCTTGATACAGCCATAACAATGTGTAAGCTTCAAAGTTGGAACTCTGTTGTGAAAAAAATGGAACACATATCTAAGCAGTTTTCGTTGATGCCCCACTTCGTTCGTAGTGGTGTGGTTAATTACAATATAGGTCTATATTGATGCCCTGAATCTGGACGTACACAAACGCTATTGGTGTACGCCTTAGTTCTGCAGAAGCTGGCTCTGTAGACATCAAAGGGTTCAGGTGCATGAGTTGCATCATCCGGGCATTTTGCTAGGTCCGATACGGGCAATGTCTTCGTGTACCTCGTCATCGGCCGTCGGCGTGCTAACTCTAAAATATATACTATGGATATATGACATTTTTAAACAGTTCTGATTTATAGTATTTTATGATATGATATACATGTCAGAAACACTCCAATCTCTTACTATATTATTTATTTATAGGAGAAACGTCAACAAATTTTCAGTGAAGTACAGTCTGTAACAAAAAAATCCGTAAAATACAGACAAAATACAAAATTGTTTAATTTGCTTTGCTCAATGCGATTTGTGATGCATAACATAGAAAACAGATATAATTAACATGAATAAACTTAATATAACTTAACAAATAT